GTGTTACAGGAAGCCAATGAAGGTGCCTTAACACAGGAGTGATATGATCCCTAATTGGGCTTAAAGTGACCAAACGGGCAGCTGCATTCTGAACTCGCTGAAGTTTTGAAATATCCTTAGCTGGCAATCTATAAAGCAATGAGTTACAACAAGGTTGATCGCATTTATGGCTTAGGGCTCGTGGTTTCGATTCCAACATGAACCTTTTTTTTTTATTTTGGCAACATAAACTGGAAGTGGTGTGATTGATTCCCACACGAACCATTTTTTTAAACTTAAAATATTATTCATTCATAACAATTATTTCGATTATTTAGAAGAACATAAGATAACAATTATTTTGAATATTTAGTAAGAACATAAGATATACAAATGGAAATGCAGTAATGCATGTAATAAAGTATATGATGCTTATGAACGACATGCTTGGACGTTTACCACGTCACGAAAATCTTTCCCCATTGAATACCCTTTTCACCCAGGAAAGTGCCTGAAAACCTCAAATTTTAAATCGTGTATTTTGTTGAGGTAGGCCAATTTCCTCTAAAAATTGCACATTTTAGGGAGTTTTGATCAATTCCGACGAAATTAGAATTAAAAAGACAAATTTTTTCGCGAGCTTCGCGCGCATTTTTTAATGTTAAAGCTTGTGCTTGCTCTCCTTTGCATTCTAAGTTGTAACGCATAGTCCCAAACTCAAAAAAGAAAATTTAAGATAGATCGTTTTACCCAAAAGAGGGGCCTCAATGTGTAATGATGTTGAAAGAATATGTTTGTAATAAATAAAGCTAGCCATAAGGAAAATGCTTATATTCAGTTTAAAAAAAACGAATGTGGCCATATATAACATAAGAGCATTTCTTGTTGAGGTAGGCCAATTTCCTCTAAACAATTTTCGCGCGCTTCGCGCATTTTTAAATCTCCAAGATTGTGCTTGCTCTCTTTAGCCTTCGAAGTTATAACACATATTCCCAAACTCAAGAAAGAAAATTTAAGATAGATCGTTTTACCTAAAAGAAGGGCCTCAATGTGTCAAGCATATGATTGTAATAAATAAAACCAAGACGAAAATGCTTATATTTAGTTTCAAACACACGTGTGTGGCCTATATTAATAATAAAAATAAAATAAAATAATTGGG